TTTATATGTTTTTTTATTAGTTTTTACATGAACGCATTTAAGTGTGACGGTTGTAATTATTGTTATTTGTAATTACTTAACTTTGATAAACATCAAAAGTATGCGGTTGTGCCTCCTTTGCGCCTATGCGGTTCTGCTCCAGAGGACAGTTTTTAGAAATAAGGTAGTTTCATAGCTTGCTTATTAAGTTGTGTTGATATCAAAAATCGCTTATTAAGTTGTGTATAATAAATAATGCTGATAACATATATCTTTAACACTAAAATCAAATATTGCTTTATCCTCAAAAAAAAGGTCTGGAAAAATATAATGTAAATATAATATTTTTATCAAAATAAACATTATTATGCACAACTTCTCAGAAACGTAACAGAAACTCTTTTTGACATGAGCGAAAGGAAACAGTTTTACTAACGCTTGGTATGTTTTTTTGACATACTAGATAACATTTTTTAAAGGAAAATCTTAAAAACAGTTGTACCTCTATATGTGGTTATGCTCCCATATTCCCTTTATATAAAAAGTATTTTTATACTTGCATTTATTTATGTACATTATGCATATATTACATTGTGGAAAAGGTATACTTAAAGGCCGCAGCGTCCTTAAAATGTTACTTCAAATGGCTAATTAGAGTCTTAAGAATCTATAGTATGAGTAACCTTGTTTTTTTCTGAATCCTATTTAGAAGGCGAACCCTAAACTCCAATATATTTACTTTCTAAAACTACTTCAGTTTTAAGTTTCTAAATTTTGTTTCTTTTTCAATCTGATTTAATTTTGTAACCTTCATTTCAATCTAAACAAAAACAACGGTATAAAAAACATATATTACAACTAATAATATACTACAATAAAATAACATAAAAGAATGTGTTGAATAGTAATTATGTTTTAAACGTCATTTATACTTTTTACATATTTGATGGTGGTGGTGTACACTCTCTACTGCTTTTTCAGTATAAACCCCCAAACATATTTATTACGTTGAAAGTACGTAAAATATAAAATTGTAGTAAAGTATAAAATTGCAAACATGTATATGGACTTTCTAGCCTACATTTAATTGGTATTCAATTCTTCATATTATTTTTTGAAGAATTTAAAGATTTAGAAATAAATCTTAGTAGTCTATAACTGATTCAAATAAGAATTTACTTTCGTCTCAAATCCTTTTTTACTTAATTGAAAACTTTTTTTTTAATTGATAGGTGGAAGAGGCAACCTAATATTTGGATCTATGAGGCTGCGCTCATCCGGTTAATTTTTATATTATCTAATTTTCTATAAAACCTTTGTGCATTTTTGCTATCCAAATTAATCCCATAATGGCTTTGCAGCTTAATATAAATAGCCTTTAACCACGATTCAAACTTAGCCAAAAAGAAATTAAAATATTTACAAACATTAAAATAATCCCAATGAAAAAATTAAACTCTGAAGATACTATGTTCAAAATTTTTGGAGGCTCATCAAGGTAAAGAATTTTTACAGAAATATAATTTTTGAACTCTTTTATTTCTTTATATCAGCAACATATTTTTTGTTATACAACACTTTCAAGTAATATGCTCTGTGACAAGACAAATAGGTCTTCTTGTGGTACATAAACAACAAAAAATAAAAAGTAAGCATTTACCCTCACATTTGTCGCTGTGACTTCTCAGTCAAATTGTGACTACTTAGTCTTACATTCAAATTTGCCACTGTGACTTCTCACTCCAAATAAAAAAATTCCAAATTTAAAATCAAATGCTACTGAATATGTGACATCTTTTAACCTCATAGAGCTAGAAGTAATTTAAAGTTAAAATTTTGCTCAGAAACATTTTCAACTAAATTATATATTGTTTTGCATCAAGTTTATAATGCAACAAACCACAGTAAGTACAGTGATTTGTTGCATTATATAAGGGGCTGGTGAGAGTTGTGAGCTGTGTTAGTTTCATATAGTTGTGCATATGATACTCATAGTCGTTGTAGATTATGTGTATATGTATGGTGGAGTGGCATGTGTTATTACTATAAATAATTAGTACAAAGTTAGTCGAAAGTCATTTAAAATATTGAATTAAATGAATCGTGATGCTTATTTACTATAAAAGCAAAATTTTTTTGAAAAAGATTAATGAACATTTGAAGGTTATTTTGGCCAATGCCATGTTTTTCTGCGTTTTTTTTTTCAAGAATTTGGGTGATGTGCTGTACATTGGCATGCATATTTTGAGTTATAGAATTTCTAGAATCTCTGTATGCAACATCAAATTAAAAAATAGCATCTTTGTACATGGAATCAAGGCCATTAATAAAGCATGGTTATACAGCTCCATTAAAAACCCTTAATAAAGCAAATATTTTTGTTCCTTGTAATTCATTTTTGCACTTGGTGGTAATGATTTTAGCAAGTCAATTTTATTTACTTTAGTTATCAACATTTATTGAAATTAAACTCCCCTCTATGTATTGCAGGCTTCTATATATTTAACTTATTTGATTAGTCAGTAGCTTTATAGAAACTAAAAGCTATTTGACTCAATGTACCTTTCGAGTGATTAGAATGGCGGTTAGCAATTTCATGAAAATTTCATGAAATGAAATGAGTGAAATCTAAGAGCTACTTAATAGTTTTGAACATTTATTCTATTTAACCAAAGTATTTGTAACTGTCCAGTCAAACTTGATTTTCTCAGATCATCCTGTAAGGTTTTTACACCAGAGGCTTAAGTATGTGGATGCAGCAGAGCCTAATCAGAAATTATCAAATTTCATGTTTACAGCTACATTGAAAGCAATTTTTTTTAGAGTAAGCGTATTTAAAATTTTTTTTAAGTTTTTATAAAGTTTATTTATAGACTAAATAATAGTAAAACTATGAAACTTATTCATTACACCATTCATTCAAAGTTATACATAGTGATATTTATTACACTACAATCTTGAAAAGATTGAGAACAAACCCCTGTAGAATAGAAAAGTTTTTGTTTTTTTTAGTTATAGTTTCATTTAATTTTAATGATAAAGATTTTTAGAAAGTTTTCACCTCCATCAATTCATGTTTCCTAAGGATAACGCCAATTAATCCAGAAATATTATGAGAATGTACTATTGCAAGAAATGTTATGGCAATGTACTACTGCAACCTTTACTTGTTTTGTTTTGCAGTACTTACAACCAGCTTTTATGTATGAACCAATTAACTTTTATTTATGGTAACCGCACATTAAGTTATTCTAGGTTTCCAAAGTTTTGAATAATGGATAATCAAAAATTATTTCCTATAGTATTTTACCAAAAAATAGTTTACCTAAATTCCTATTCAAAACTATTGAAAGCTGTTTAAAATAATTCAATTTTATTATTGAAATAGTTTCCAAATATGATATGGTTTGACTAAAATCTCGTGAATCAAGTAAAAAGTATCAATCGAAAATCAAGAGAAAAGTAACCTAAATCAAGTGAAAAGTAACAGTAGAATTGATTTACAATTTTTTGTATATTTTTTTTTTTTTTTTTTTTTTAGTGAAAAATACAATACAGCAAACTTGAATATTTTTTAGTATTTAAGTCATTAAAAAAAAAAAAATTGAGTGAGCTTTTTTTGAGATAATTCGCCTACAGGTAGACGGGCCCCAAAAACTCATCGACCCTAAAAGCCACACGCTCACGTTAGTACTTGTAATTCATAGATTAAGTGTTATCAAGTAACAAAATAGATTTTTTTACTTGACAAGATAGTTTTTTGATAAGAAACTGTTAAAAAAACCAAATTAGCATAACCTTGTAAAAATTATACGAAAAACACAAGAATATTTTATTTAAAAATTTTATAACTTTTTGAAATTATAGTCATTAAATACTTAAAAGTTTCATTTAAGTTTGCAAAGTTTTTTGTAAAGATGTATATCATACTTCTGTAAAAAAATTTTTTTTATTTAAATAGTTGTTAACATATTTTAAGTTAACAAAAATATTATTTCTGAGTGGTTTTTGGGGTTCATTTACAAAAAAATATATATACAGTTAAAAACTCAATATTAAAAGAGAGTTTTTCTATTTCAATTAAAATTTATTTTTTATTTAACAAGCAAGTAAAGATAGTTGTTTGTAAAAAAAAATTTACTTATAGCTCTTATTAAGTAAATTGATCAACTAATTGACTAAGTATAATGGGTAATTAAAAAACATAATCTGTCATGAGGCCATAAAAATTATAATGTCAGTTCCTTGGTGTATCCTTCTAATTGCTAGTATCTTGATCACATTCATGCTCAATAACCTTACGTTAAAGGGCATTGTCGGTTACTGCTGCAGCTAAAAAGAATTTTGGTTTCTTTTCATCCACTTTACATGATAACTTTCTGCAAAATGACCTTTGTACATTGTGGCAAGAAGAGCACTGCTGTAGTTTTATGGCATGACACACACTTTCTCCACAGTTGCATTCATTTTTACACCGTAAAAATGTTTCTCTTTGTTTCTCTTTATTCGATTTTCTTTTTTTTTTATCTTTAAGTTCTTGATTTTAATTACCTTGATTTACTTTCACTAACTCCAGCACATTTTTTCCTTTCAATGATCCGTGAACCCGCGTAACCCATGTAGTAACTTTAGAAATTTTTGGCTTAACTTTCTGCACTGTCAGTAAAAAATCACGTCACTGTCAGGGATTTCTTCAAGCTCTTTTTGCTCAGCTCTTGAGTTAGCTCTTGTAAACGCTCAAATTTTTTCTTCCAATACTGAGCTGGATTTTTTCTTTTATCAGGAGATTCAATAGTGTATCTTTCAGGGGTTGTTGTACTGGGTGAAACACTTTTAGAAGTATCAGTACATAAAGTAGCTTGTGCAAACTTGCCCTGTTGTATGTTATTGACGTTTAATGATGTAGAAGTTATTCCTTTATGTCTTCCAGCTTTGACTATAGATTTTTTTGGGGCCAAATTGTTCCAAAAATGTCCTTAGATCATCATAAAAGCTTCTTTATTTAGTGAGTTGAAATCAGTAAAAATGTTTTCTTTCATACCACGATAATCATGATGAAGGTTTTTGTTGAGTTGATCTAAAAGCTGTGTCACAGCGGTGGTATCTGGTGGAGTTAGGAACATTCGTATGTTTTATTGAATGTAAAAAATGTAAGACATCAAAATTAAAGCGCGAACAATGCCCATCAGAAAGCAAAACTACTGGCCGTGCTACACCATGATTGCACGTTGTTATCAGAAGATGCTGAATATTTGTCACAGCTTCCTGTGGAGCCGTTTTATTAGTTATTCCAACAGTACCAAAGAGTAATTGACAGACAGAAAGGTTTCCTATAATCACAAAGAATTATAATACAATGTCATCCTTTCAATCTCTGTTATAAATATTAATGAAAAAAAGTGATATGGCAATAGCTACCTGAAAATGATACTAAAGGATGTATGGTGACGCATTCGCGGTTCTCTCATCATTTTACAACATGTTTTCCCTTTTGCAGCAAAGACAAGACCAGCAGGAGTTCCATCAACACCAAAGTTGATGAACTGTGGTGTTTCGTCGTAATTAAATATTCTCCCTATATTAATTTTTCTAGACCAAACTCCTGTCACCTTTTGTTCTTCTTCAGTCATAATGCTAGCTTCAATCAATTCTACTGCAAGAGCGTCTAAAGACAACTATAAAAAACAATAAGTAACTCAGTTTTGCTCAAACTATTTTTAATGAATCTAAAGTACAGAACAATAATTACTGTACTTTACATTTATTAAAAGAGCATAACATAAAAGTGCACAACTATTATTAAAAGATAGCTCTATGTAAAATTTTAAATGAAACGTGTATATTATAAAATTTAATTAAAACACAATAATTACTCATACCAAGGTGGACACATGCCATTTCTCATGTGCAATTGAGAGCTCTATTTATTGATACATTTTCTTGTCGCTTAAGTGTTAAGCTTAAATTATTTGCATTAAAACGCATCCAGAACAATTTACCTAATCTGCAATTGAAACAAAAAATATATAAAAATCAAAGCAAAAAAACATTTCTAACAAGCTACATCTCCTGTAGTTACAAACAACCTTCTCTAACCATATTATCTTCTACTACTTTTTGAAAATATATATAACAAACAAAAATACTTGTTTTTTGTCAGAGTATTTTTTGCACTGGCTGATAATGCTGCAAATTTTCTTCCACCTTTTAACCTTTTATGTGTATATTGTCTAACTTTCAGAACATCAAGGATAAGTTTTGTTAGTCCTGCTTTGTTTATATCTTGCATTGCTTGATTTTTAATTTTAATATATGAAACAATTGACATCTCTTCTGTCTCCAAAAGAATTGTACAGTACTTTCAAGACCATTAACTATTTTCCCATCAAGTCTACGGTTTATTGTTTCACAATCTTTAATAAATGGGAATTGTCTTGTTTTAATTGCAGCATTTACTCTAACATTATTTTCTTTACACAAGTCAACAGCAACTTAAAGTTTTTTATTTTTTTCTAATGTTGCTTTTCTTTTTATAAGTGCTTCAACATTAAAACTTGGATTTAGTGACTTCATTTGCCAGCCTATTTTAAATTTTTTATTGATGTTACTCATACTTATTTATTTGCCTAAAAATAAAATATTATCAAAAATTCACTGAACTGAACTAAATCTGTCCTCTATGCAAGAATATAAAATAAAACTTCTTTATAAATTCTTTATCATCAAAAAGCTTGTTACAACTACTACAAATCTACACTGATTCTTAATTTTTTGTAATATTACATAGATTTTTTTAAAAACTAAAATAACTAATGTGGTTTTTGGGGTCCCAACCATGTCGTTTTTGTAGCGCCTTAGGTACTTCCTTAAAATATAAGTTCGCAATCAAAATAAAATATGAAGTGAAATTTAATATAACAAGCAAATCAAAAATATGGGAAAGTTACAACTATTTTCAAAAAAGTTATAAACAATTTAAGCCATGTGGTTTTTGAGGTCCCATATTAAAATATAGAAAAACTTTACTGAAAAAAGAAGTACAATAAAAGTACTAAAATACTTCTAAACCTCTGGCAACAACTTTTACCATATAAACACATATAAAAAGGCCCGTCTACTTGTACTTAATTTTTTTAATTATGTGCCCTCAATATTTTTAAAAAAATTAAAAATTAGCATTAAAAAAGTTTTCTAAATGCTAATTTTTAAGGTTTTATGTTTCTAATTTTGATAAAAAAAAAAATTCTTTTGAACGTTATATAAACCGTGTTATTATGGAAAGTCATTTTTTAATTATTAATATCTTAAGAACCAAAACCAATTGTCAAGATATAAAACAAAAAAAAATGAATACATTATTTTATTGACTAAGTGATTCCATATAAAGCTATCTGCACGACTGTAAATCAGTCTACCTAACAGATTTATTTGTAAAGTTAAATGACTAAAATCTCTTTTATTTTTTTGCAGCTTTGAATACAATATCTCTACTAACAGCAGCTCAAGCTTTAACTTCTAAAGGTCATTATTTAACTTTTTTTTTATTAATATTATTTATTAAAATTATATTCTTGTCGATTCCGTACTGTTAATACATTTTAACAATATTTTTGGTCATAAAACCTCGTATCAAAAAACACTATTAGTTACCATGATTAAAGAGCTTACTAAGAAGAAATCCAAAAATTTATGGTTATGTTTTTCAGCAGAGTTTAAAGATAAGACCGTTAGAACCAGAGTCGTAAGAATGGGGGTGCAAGAGGCGCAGTCACACAGGGCGGAAAATGTTACATTCGGAAAATATATTTTTACCTATACATGAATAATATTAATTAAATGTATATTAGACATTAGTTTGAACTTTGACGTATCATAAAATTACTATAATGTAATCACTAATTACAAGTCATTATATTATTTCATTACTTATATATAAATAGTTATTGTATAACTTATAATAGATTTTATAATTATATTTATTTCATAACTTATATATAAATAATTATTGTATAATTTATATAATTTTTGCTTCTGCCACACAATAAACATTTTTAGCTTCTGCATCAAATAGAAATGCAAAAGATCATTTTAAAAGTAGATAGTAGAATTAAATAATTAAATACAATGTATGTACAGAATCTGTTGCAAAAGTTTTTAAAATCAAAATAGTTTTGAGTTTATCTGCTTGCTGGATATATGGTAAAAGATTTTAACCTTGATGGAGAGAGAAAAAACAATTTGCAATCAAAGTATGTCTGTTGATGTTGCCTTAAAAAGACTGACAAGCTTAGGAATTCTATTAAAAATTCAAGAGGAAAAGGATTTACCTTAACATTTGCAACAGTGAGGATGTTAGCAATAAAAATTGGAAATTATCTACATTTTCCATTGAAGAAGAGGCCAAAAGTAGAATGCATAAGTGTTGATGAGTCACAAGATTGTTTCGTGCTTTAACCTGAAAGTGAACTTGAGCGACAGTGTGTTCCAGCCTTTGATAGTATTTTAACACAGTTAAAATGGCGGTTGAAAAAATTCTAAAACTTTATTTGACTTTATCAGAGGAGGTTCTTTATTATGTGGTTCTGTTGATCAACTTAAAAAAGGTGCAATGAATCTAGCAAAAATGTACTTCAAAGATGGAGATAAAAACAAATTAATTTCAGAAGTAGATAGTTTTAAATTTTAGGCAGAGTCTTTAATGGATAATTTAAAAAGTCCCAAACCACTTGATCTTCTGAAACTTATTCATAAATATTCTTTGAAAGCTGCTTACCCAAATATTGAAATCTATCTGAGAATACTTTTGATACTACTAGTGACAGTTGCATCTAATAGAAAAAGTTTTAGTAAGATAGCAAAAAACTATTTATGGTGTTCAATGGGCCAAGACAGATTATCAAGTTTGTCCATCATCTCAATTGTATCAATACTGACAAACTCACTAATTTATGGTGATGTTATAAATGATTTTGCATCTCTGAAGGCCAGAAGAGTAAACTTAAAATCTCATTTGAAACGGTTTGAATCATCGTTATTACTGAAGTTTAATAAAAATGAAAATGAGATTGATCTTTTTTTTTGGGAGGAGGTGAGGTAGAAGGGGGAGGGGCGAGGGGAGTTATGAATTTTCAGTTTCGCACCGGGCGTCGTTTTGACTTGCTACAGCAATTGTTAGAACTTTTTGGGACACCATATTAATCAATAAAATAATAAGAATAACTTATATAACTTAAATAACAATAAAAATAATTTATAATTTTGTTAGCTTTACCTTTTTCTGAATTGTTTTGTGAATTTTTTTTATTTTTATTTTGAACTTTCTACTTTAGTAAATTTACTCATGCATGGTTAAATATAAAAAAGCATGATTAAATATAAGAATAAATACTGTTTTTTCTTATATAGAAAATCATTCTAAATACTATATTAGTTCAATCTTTAATAAAAAACCTGAACTTAATAGATTTAATAATAGTAATAGTTCCCATTCTTGCGTTTTGACACGGAGATGACGGCAACTATTAAAGAAAGAATAAGTCAACAAAAAGAGTAAGAGAGTATAAGAGTATAGAAGAAATTTAAATTAAGATATATAAAAACGTAGTTTATGTAAATTTAAAAAAAAGTTAAAGTAAAAACTTAATTTATAACGTTATACAATGTCAGTTAGTGTCAACGTAATACATTAAGCTAAGTTTGCAAATTGTACATTGAAAGATTCTCTATATAAATTGTATAATATGAGCAAACTTTTAAAAATTTCTACAACTTCAAGTTTTAAAGTTTTTTTACATAACCCTTTCATTGGTCAAATATTAAAAAAATTATTTAATTAAATAATAATTAAAAATGTTTTAAACAATGGTACCTATAAGTCTTCAAAAAACTCTAAGTCTAAAATTTTATCTTATGGAAGGTCTGGAAACCTTTTTCTGCTTAACATACATAAAAATAATGTGCGCAAGGTATAATATATGTGACTGTAACCCATTAAACAATGCTTGCAGGAATTTTATTTTTGTGGTAGAGTGTCATTTTTTTGGAAAATGATTTAGAAAATCATTGCCTTTATCACTAGTTGGAGTTTCACTATTTCATATGTCTATTTTCATGCAACTAACATTCGAAACAAGCTTTTCGATTACTAAAAATACTCCTGCTGTTAACGAAACGGAAACATTAGCATACGAGTTTATTTTATCGCTGATGTTAAAAACTGCCGAATTACTTTTAACCAGCGAATAAATTATTGCAGGGTTTAACGGAGGGATGTGAATATGGCTTCTGTACAACAAAAATTTTGGGTTAAAAAAATTTATTTTACGGATCACGCGGTAATTGAACTTGTAAACCATATATGGGATGTTTTTAATGAAGATTATTTTACCTTAAGAGTTTTTGATTAATTTGTTGAAAGTATTTGACACTGTCAATCATGAAATCTTTATGAAAGCTTTACGGAGAACTTTACGGAGTAAAAAAATTAAACTTACTTTGGTTTAAAAGCTACTTGACTAACAGGAAACAACGAATAACTATAAAACAAATAAAACCAGAAAAAAAAATTTATAAGTTTCAGGGTTTCATCTTAGGTCCAAGTGTCTATCTTAGGACCATTATTGTTTTTAGCGTATATAAATTACATATTTTCAGCATCTAAAAAATTATGTTGATTCGTGATATAACTTAACGCACGAGAACGTGTTTTTTTTTTAAAACATGAGCATAATTTTAAAGTTTAATATAAATACTTATTCATATATATACAAAAATTGATTTTTCATTAAATGATATTAAAAACTTCATAGAGATACAAAAAATATAGTTATTGAAGAAACTGAAAAACTCTTTAAAAAACGGTAAAAAAAACTTTGCTATATTAATATAAAAAAATTCTCGTAAAGGCTGGATAAGATTGAACGAGAAAACAGCAACAACATGATAAAAATTAATACAATCCCAAACAAATATGATATTTCTCTGCAAAAAGTCATTTTAAAAGAAACAGAATGTAACGAATTAAAAAAATTTATTAATAAAAACGACAAAATAACATCAAAAAAATTTAAAGTTGTGAAAGAAAAAACTAAAAAGAATAGCGCCGAATTAAAAGACAAAAGTGAAATACATATAATAAATAAAAAACCTACGGGAAATGGAAGACAGATCCTGCAAGAATAATTTAAGAATAGACAATGTTAAGGAAAGTGTAAATGAAAGCTGGGGTGAAAAGTGGGAATGAAAGTGAGAATAAGGTTAACAAATTGTTGAATGAATGTCTTGACTTTGAAGAAAAGTCAATATTGAACGAGCCCATAGAGTTGGTCAAAAAGACGGTAAAAAAAATCAAACAATTGTTTTAAAGTTATTAGACAATAAATATAAAGTCAAAATTATGAACAAACCCTATCAACAAAAAGGCAAAAAAATATTCATAAATGAAGATTTTTGTGCGGACACAATACATAGCAGAAAAGGACTTAAGGAGAGAATAAAAAAAGAAAGAGAGTCTGACAACTATGCAATAATATCGTACGACAGATTGATTTTCCGGGACAGGAAAACTAAAGTTATCAATCCTAAAAACTAACTTTCAAGAATCTCTTTTTTCAGGTTTTTCACTTTTTTATCTTATTTTGTTTTTATCATACTTTTATTTATTTCATTTTTTTACCTTAACATATTTATAAAAAACTAGCAGTAAGCAACCCGTAATACGGGTTAGTAGTAAATAAATCATTACTAACAATTTGATATTTATTTACTTTCTCTAATAAAATATAAACTTATTTATACAGTAAGCAACCCGTAATACGGATTAGTAGTAAATAAATCATTACCAACAATTTGATCTTTATTTACTTTCTCTAATAAAATATAAATTTATTTATACAATTTTTTAGTTGTGCTCACTTTTATTTTTTGGCTTCTTAGTTTAAGAGAACTCTTAGCTTCATTGAAGATAAAGTTAACCATTTCTTTTGCAATGTTCAGACATTGAATGCGCAAATCACAACCATGTAGTAGTTAAAAATGACTTGAATTATATGCACAGAACATCGATGTCGAATTTTCAAATTCCGTAAAATTGTTTAGGTAAATATTGGGAATATATTTTACTCTTAATTTTTCTTTAAGCTGAGTCGTTTCTTTTTTTTTTTAAACTTTTAATTTTACTGAGTGAAGAGCTTACAAATATGTCACTATCGCACCTAAACTTTTCAATATTTTCAAAATACTTTTTAAATATTTTTAAAACATCTAAAATATTACACCCGAATTTGTAGGCATAGAAGTTGGATATCCGGAAAAACTATAAGTTGAAAAATATATCACAATTCCGGAAAGGGCTTAGCCCTGCACACGGATCCTATATTATTATAAGATAAAGATTATTACTAAACCAACCTTTTTTTTAATTAGTAATCCAGCAGAAACTTTTTTATAAAAAAACAATAAAGGAATATATCGATTTACTTTATAGCTAACGTAAACTTTAACTTGGCGTTAAATTATTAGTT